AGTGCACTGGGGCCTCGGGCCCAGCAGGTCCGGGCCGCGGGGGCGGAGTTGGCGCGTGCCCGGGCCGCGGACTCCTTCCTCCGCCGCCGACCGAGGGCGGAGTTACGGTCTGGGCACCCGGAAGCTGCTGGTTCCTTGAGAGCGAATTTTCAGAAGTGGCGGGGAATGGCGGAGACGGTAGCCTTTTGATACGTGGTTGTTACACAAATTGCTTTCCGTTGTGAGCGCTCAGAGCCTGTACCCCGGCCAGGCTGTCCTTCCTTTCCCTTGCCCGGTCGGGGTTTGCTGTCTCCTGAAACTTGGTTAGCGTCAAAGTTGAGTTTGGGATAGTAGAGATTTAATATCTTCCAAAGATAGAGCCCTTAGGGGCTCAAGGGAGAGTCTTGTTCCAGGTTGTGGCTTTATTTCTGATCTTCTCAGTGAAAGCTTTGCTAGGGCCAGCCCTCCTAAAATCACAGCTTTCTTATAAGATTTGTGGCTATGTGTCTCACCCTACCATTTCAGAAAAATGTTTGTTGGTCACCTGAGCTGGGATACCAGCAAAAAGGACCTAAAGGATTATTTTACCAAGTTTGGAGAGGTCGTTGACTGTACAATAAAAATGGATCCCAACACTGGCCGGTCAAGAGGATTTGGGTTTATTCTCTTCAAAGATGCAGCTAGTGTGGAGAAGGTAAGCTGGGTACTTTATATAAGGAGTAAATTCTAAGGATGCTACTCTTGGAGAGTGTAGCTTGTGTGTTCTGCACATGGTTGAGTGCTTGAGAAAAGCAGCTCCTTGTAGTAGGGTAGTGAGTGGGCTGGAGTGGTACAGGAAGATGAGAGTGGACGTGTGTTGCCTTCCTCTGCCTATTCTGGACACTGCAAACACTATTGTGAGGATTGGAGGAGAGGCCAAGGTTGTTGTGAGATAGGCATTTTAGCTTCAGTTTACAGAAAACAAGCTAAGGTTCAGAAGCTGAAGTAGAAAAGCTCACACAGGTGGCTAAGTGTGGTGGCGTCAGGATTCTGACGCCAAGCAGCCCAGTTTCCTTCAGTCACTGCGGCTTTACTTCTGGAGATAGGCCTTAAACTGGAACTGCCGAGGCAGGAGGAGGGTGTACAGGATAACATGGGAAAAGTCGGGGTGGTGAGGACTGATTCACAGGTAAACCAGCTGTGCTTGACATTTGATGGTTGGGTTGGAAAGTCAGGTTGGGGTTAGAGTTTGGAGGGGATGAAACATTTTGTGTACCTGTGTTGGGGTTCCATGGCTCAAATTGAAGAGCCTTGTATAGAGAGTCATGCTGCTGAGTTAGAACCCAACTTCCTTCTGTCGGAACAGGTCCTGGACCAGAAGGAGCACAAGCTGGATGGCCGTGTCATTGACCCCAAAAAGGCTATGGCCATGAAGAAGGAGCCTGTAAAGAAAATTTTTGTGGGGGGTCTGAATCCTGAAGCCACTGAGGAGAAAATCAGAGAGTACTTTGGCGAGTTTGGGGAGGTGAGTGGCCTGCCCTCTGCCCTGAGGTGGCCTTCCTGGTCCGTGACAGCCTTGGCTGACTGGAGGAGCCCTCCTCAGCCAGGCTGCTTTATCGTTCTCTGGCCTTCATGGACCTTTTCTCCATCCAGTTCCCTGTGAGCCCTGGGGAGGTACTGGTCCTGAGCTTTTGCCTGTGTTTACAGATCGAGGCCATTGATCTTCCAATGGATCCAAAGTCAAACAAACGACGAGGTTTTGTTTTCATCACCTTTAAAGAAGAGGAAGAACCTGTGAAGAAGGTTCTAGAGAAAAAGTTCCACACCATTAGTGGAAGTAAGGTAAAGTGTCTGCAGTTAATGTGTGTCTGCCCTCTTGCAGAGAGAGGTCTGCCCCTTGCAGGTGTGGCTTAGGGGTTGGGCTGCCTCCAAGGGCTCTCCAGGGTAGTGAGACCCCATTGTTTCTCTGAAGGTCTGCTGCCCTGATTGGGGGCAGATGGTTCTGGCCTTCAACGAGCTCTTAGCCTGGCAGTAAAAACAGTAGTATACTGAGTAGTCTCTTTAAAGCTAGAGCTTAAGATGGTCTGAATCTAGAGTTCTCAGAAGATTTTGGAACTTCGGCTGTTCACTGATTTTTCTTTCCCTGGCAGTGAAGTCCTGCTTACTATAGAAACTGCTGCAGAGCTTTTCTATCTTATTGCTTCCAAAACCAAATCTTTATTCTTCTCCATCCCCTTTGGATACTGGTTTAGTCAAATCCATCCGAGCAAGATCCTTCCCAAAGAGCCCCCGGGGTCCTGGCTCATTTATACCCAGGGCCAGTTTGCCTTCGAATGAATAGAAGTGAGAAATATAGCTGAACTCTGGTCTAGAGAGAGGGTAGTATGGCTTTTTAAAGTATTCTCCAGGTGGCAGTTGCGTGTTGAGGGTGTGACAGGGTGTGACGGGCTCTGTCTGTGCTGGAGTGGCAGCCAGATAAAGTTGGACAGGTAGGGTGGGGCTCCTGAAAACTTCAGTACCCTGGCTGGGAATTTAGAAAGATTGGATTGGACTCTTAAATTTCATGTAAAATGAGATTGGATCCTAGGGGACATTTTGAAAAGACACCATCCATTAGCTATCCCAGTGGATAGGGATATCGACAGGCCTTTTTTTCTGCCATAATGAAAAATGGGCAGGAAGAACCTATAGGGCAGCACTAGTCACTACTGGCAGTGGGTCTTGAAATACTGTATTTAGTTGTATTTCAGTAGGGTAGAAAACATCAGATTGCATCACTGGTGGGGGTAATTTGCCAGTTTTACAGGAGTGTGCTTATATGGGGACAGCTTATGTGGAATGTTTTTTCACTGGTCTTAGTTGGGGGCAAAGTATGTGTCAGGGTACTTTTTTATTTTATTCAAATTATAAGAGAAAGTTCATTTAGAAAGTTAGAGGTAGTAGAAGTGAGCCAGCTGGGCTGTGTAGGCTCAGAAAACAAGTTTAAAAATTAGCAAAAGAAGGGCCCTTGGAACTTAAAGGGAAAGGCATAGGGGATGGAGGTGTAGGTGTAGAAGGGGACATGAAAGGTAGGGAGGGAGAGCGTTTGTTTGTTTTTTTAAATTTTTATTGTTGAAAGTATTACAGATGTGACCCCCCTTTTAAAAATTTTTATATTTATAA